AGCCCGTGAAATTTCTTAATGAGTTAAAATGTGTTTTCCGTATTGAATGTGCGTAAACTTTAAAAATAACTATTTTTTATGTGATGAATGTTCAGGAGAGTCTAGGGAAACTGAAGGAAGTGTGAAATATTATTATTTTCAGTTGTTTTATTTCGCATTGAAGATTTGAATATCTGTGAACACTTATTAGAACAGAATGGTGATTCTGATATTGTTGAATAGGTTGTGTTCTGAAGAATAACATTGGGAATTTAGACTAATGTTTAAATAAATCTGCATTGTGAAGAAACCCTAACTTGTAACATATTAGAAGTATTTTGGAAAAATACCAAGAATTAAAAGCCTTTACAGAACAATGCAATGTAGTATACTTAACTTGTGATTTTATAATTACATGGTTTTTAATAACAATAGTTCATTATCCTCAGTGGAACAGTCTGAGGTGTGACACTCCAGGGATGAGTATTAGCCCTGCACATAATCCTACATTCCTGATATTCTGTCTGGGTCATTGCTAGGGCTTAGACTTCTTCTAACGCAGTTCCTAAAGAACTCAAATTGCCGATGATTGATGGAAGAGATGGCTTGAATTTCTGGTTCTTCTCATTTCTCCTCATTTTTGCTCAGCATCCTCAGCACTTCCTTTTCAACTTAACTGGAAATTGTGGACGTAGTAAAAGTATTGTTTCAGCTTTTGACACATTGATGAACTGCTCCTGGTTTAAGAAAATTCAACTTGCTTTGGTTATGCATCATTGCAAATAGCAAAGATACTGGCAGAAATCCCTTATGCTGCACAGGATCCTACACCACAGGTTAAAAAAAAATTCAGAAAAAAGAAACTTTGATCTACAAACAGAGCAACTGAAGTCATTTTTGAAGGAACATGTGTATGATGCTAATAACAAGTCTATAACAAACCAAGCAAATCACACATTCAGTTCTTTAAAAAATATATGTATTCTAAATTTTGTCTTAGGTTTAACTTAAGTATCTGAGACTTAAACGAAAACAAAACACTACTTTAAAATCCAGTATCATTTTATTTTACTACACAATGTAGGTTGACAGAGGCCTCTACAGTACTTTGTGTGTTTGTTCTGCTGCCTCATTGCTGCATTGATCAAGTGGTTGATTTAAACCAGAGAGCCTGGGGAAGCCACAGCTTCCTCGCCCACCAGTGCAGCTGATGGAACACACTGAGGAAAGCCTCCCCCAAATCAGATCCTAGGATGTCTCATGGTTCCCTGGAGGCATTGCCATAAGACAGGGAGGCTGCAGCCATGGCTGAGTACAGAACTGTACAGAACCTGTTTCCTAGCAACTCTGGTCAGTCGGAACAGTTGTTCACAGCTGTTGTTTTATAATTCCAGGACTGAAGCTGACTAAAGAAATAACGAGAAGACACTTTCATTTTTAGTCAAATAATTTATATGTATAACCTGCTTAGGTACATGGATGTTCAACTTTCTAGTGTGGCTTAATTAAAACAATTCTAGAAAGAAATTAAGGCAAGATTCCAACACAGTGATTGTAAACACTCATGGCTATTTTCTGTAAATGCTTGAGGACCGTGGTTGCTAGTTAAAGAAGTTAATGGTCTTTTTTGCATAGGGTCAGGTTGGTCTGGATAGCCTATTTTGCTTTATTATCATTTGGTCAACACTTAATTTGATCTGACTTGTTTGATTTTGATTTGCATATAAACCCATTCACATTGTAAAACAAAAGGAAAGAGATACACATTTAAAAAAATCTTTTAGAAATAAAAATTTGGACCTTTATATATAGCAACACCAATTAACCACTATGTAGAGCCCTACTATTTGCAGTGATTACAGCTGCCAATCTTTTAGGATATATTTTATTATCTGCAGACTAAATCTATTTGCCCACTCTGGCTTGATACCTGTCACACTACATGGAAAGCACCTACAAACATCAAGTCTTGCGACAGTTTTTTATTAGATATTGGTCTGGACTCAATCTGCAGGACATGCTGGACAAAATGTTCAGTTTTGATGTTAACTGAGAGCATTTCTATTTGTCCGAAACTATAAACAACATTTCTTACAGTTGTCTTTTAACTTGCACTCTTCAAAAAAGATCATTTGTGGAGCGTACAACTTATAGTTGTACTGTCGACAACAGTAGGTGGACAAGCATGTCTTTAAATATTTGCAGTTTTGCCATACTCATTTCAAAAAGCTTGCCGAGCTTTGGATATAGTTTTAACATAAATTTACATTAAACGTTTACACAAATGTTTCACTTTTGCGTTCATCATTATTAATAAATCTTCTGTAAGAAAACATTTGATCCCTCATCAAAACAGCTGTATTAATACTGACGTTGCATCACAAGGGCTGACTGACTATTAGTCACGTGAATTCTAAAGCATCTTTAGTTTGGGTTCTCAGAACAAAGGGGTCTGAGTAAAAAAAAATGCACACAAGCCTTTTGGAGTGTCATTTGAACAAAACACTGACGGTATTTTATCTAGTGATATATATATAGTGATTATGACTCATAATGATGCACTACTTTCTGCTTCCATGTTAAACAAAATCCCAACAAAATACATGTAATATTATAAGACAGGAAAGAGCTCAAGGATTATGAATAATACTGTCACTGTCTGAGCTTAATCAGAGGTAGTTCTTAAACCTTTTCCTCAAACACATAATTTCAAAAATGAAAATATAATATAATGTATTATAGAAAAATGTAACCAGAATTGAATAGTATTCAAATTTATAATCCGCCTTGAAGTTTCTGATCAATCGCTACCTACAGAAAGATCAAGCTGTTTTTTTTTGCACATTTTTTGCACATTTTTTTCAATAATTTTTACCTATCAAAAGAAAAAACTAGCAGTCAGTTTATGTATGCAAATATTAAAGAGTAAATAAAACGTTTCAAACTATGTGTAGCTGATTTTAACTTCCCCCTTAAAATTATCTCTTTGAAACTGCTTTGATCAGGCTGAATGAGACTGATGGTTGACCTACAGATGCAGCTTTCATCCTGTAACAAATCATTATTCACAGTGTATTGCTCCACAGTTGAATTAATCTTATCCTTAAAATATATAAACAGGTTAATAAAACAGAAAACACTAGCAAAGATGCAGACATGCTATGCAGACATGCTATGACACCATTACAATGTGATATTTGACCATCTCTTATATAATTTTGTTGGAGAACACATCTGTAAAAAGTATATTTAGGAATATTTAAATATTAACAATCTTTCTGCTTGCACCTGATTTCATGTTAATGACACTCATCCTGTACCTTACAGCTATTGCCACTTAAGTGTTTTTAAAGTACTAATACATATAACCTATAACCATTGATTTTTACATTGCACCTTACAGTCAGCTTTCTGGCAGGAGCGAAGCCTCAACCAGATGAAAACAACCTGCTTTTTTCTATAATTGGACTCTGACCTCTCAAAGGTACCGCAAAGAACAAATTTAGCTCTGATAGCACTTGCATAATAAAAGAGATGCGATGTATTGACTCCCCCCCCCTCTCTCACTCTCTGTCTGTTATCGCGCCTCATCCTACTGCATCAATCTTTAGGATGCAAATAAGGGTTACCATGGAAACCTAGGGCTCAAGTGTTATCATATTCACACTAACTGCATTTAAGAACACATGTCATAGATATATGCACAGGGATCTATATTTTCCGCAGGTAAACAGTGTTTGAATTTGCCATAAACATGTTAGTGTCAATGGTTTTCATGCTTGTATACATGTCCTTTATAAAGGTTTCTTTTTGAGCGTTTTTCTATATTTAACTAAATCTGCACAGCAAGATAATGTGAAATGTTCGTGTCTGAGCAGAGCCATGATTTGTCTCTCAGCAGAGCGCAGACTTTTTTGCATTTAAATACACAAACAAAATGGCAGGTTATTGAAGGAATACAAAAGGATAGAGTTCAGAAAGGTTTTGGTTGCCTTTGAAGCAACTCTGAGAGCCCTGTGCTGTGTTCTGCTTTGTCAGCACAGGGGCAGCTGTTCACAGTGAGAACCTGGCTTCAGTTTGTATTGCAGCCCCATCTACATGGCTTTGGAGAAGCTCACGATGGAGCATTATGCAGTGATTGTTGACTATAACAACATTAACCATTTTAACCTTGATTTTCGATATGTTATGGTTGAGGGAGTGAAAATAAGGCAAGATAGAACACAATTTACAAAGTTAAAATGACATAAACGCACAAATGATGCCATATATGGATGGTCAGGGTGCATTTACTTTTGACTGCACCTGACCTATAGGCTTCAGAACTCTGAACTCAGTCTTAATTCAGGTCAATCCGAATGGAGCGTGCTCAATTGCAACTGTATGAATTCACCACAAGATGGAAACCATGTAGCCATAACTTTTTTTTTACTATCCTAAAATTCTCATTATGTTTCCGTGTTTTATTTGTGTACATCCCACAAACTTTCTCCTCCCTTAACATGTAAGACACGAATAAAACTTGAAAAAGAAAATGTGTTTGTGTGTTTACAGTTTGTTTAAATACAAATACTCCCCGAAAGCTCCGTAAATCTATTGACATTTTACGCATAAGGGGAAAATATCAGCCGATTAAAAAAGCAGGAGGAAAAAAAAAAGGAAGCAGGTTTGGTGCAAAACAGCCCAGGCTGCATTGCCTGCTAGGAACACCGTTGTACCACCATTAGGTGTTATTTTTTTATTCTTACCTCATCATTAACACCGTGCATGAATTACATAACGTGCACACACCAAACCAAAACCTGACGCTTTTCTGCTGCAGTGGATCTGAGATCATCTTGTGGTTGGACGTGAGGAAAATAAAATATATATATACTCAAAGAAAAGGGACGTTTTAAAGTTAGAGGTCTTTTTTATTTACATTCTGTGTTGCATTTTCTCATTTTGCAGACATGGTGCGTATTTTGTGCATGTGCATTCGCGTGCGCATATGTCTGTGCGTGTGCGCGCTCTTTCCCTACCTGCTTTTCCAAGCACTCCTTGGCTGAGAGAGAAGGTTTCGGTGAAGGCGCTCTGTCGCATATGCACCCTTCCAACAAGTATAATCCCGACGGCCGAGAGCTTGACTCGTTCTCAAAATAAAATAGCATGTTCTGCAGCAAAGCGAACCACTTTGTGTGCCATTTCGTGTTGTCCGAGCTCTTTTTGCTCAAGCACCCTCGCCTTGTACCATCCTTTTTCGCCAAAAGCCCTAGATAGGTGACATGACCATCGTTGAGTCGTATTCCCTTTTGCATTTTGATGGGGACGCTTCAGCCTGCACTCAGCAGATCTGTCGTTACATCCTTCTGAAGTCGAAAAAAACAAAGACAAGATGTTGACTTTCTCAATGCGGACCTCCAGGAGCGGAATCGTCCACTCCGTCCGACGCATTCATTTAACTAGAAACAAGAGTTACAGAGACGCAAACAGCAGTCCAACAACCAAAAATCTTTTGTCATACTCCAAGTGCATTGGTGGTCTTCATTTTCCGAGTTAAATTGGCAGAAGAGAAGATGAGAGCCGTTTAAAAACTGCCGCAGACGTAGAGGAAAGGGGAGCTTGAGGTCCGTTTCTTACATGAAATCTCCAGAAACCAGTAAGCTCTGTGCTGAGCTTGGCAGCGTTGGGGAAGTCACATGACGCATGCTTTGGAAAGCAAATTTCAGGACCTTGGAGAGGGTCGCCTCACCAAAAGGCTCCAAGGCACCAAACTGAATGATCATTCATCAGGGATGACTTTTGAATTCTGAAACATTTTATATCCGTTTTGTTTTATGTTTTTACAAAAAGTTTGTCCTATATTTTCAACACTAGGATTTACAAAAGTAAATATAAAACGAGTTATGTGAATATTTATGTAACTTCAAGCAAAAATACTTTCTTACTTTTTTTGGAATTGTCCAATAAATTGTGCTTAAATCAACAGAATTCAAAGATTTCTACCCACTTTCTTTTTTTAGAACAAAGTCTGAAAAATTTTCTCTCTGGCTTTATGGAGTTATACAGGTGTTTAAAGGTATAGAGGACGATCTGTTATTTCCAGGCGGATCATCTACATTAGTGGTCCTTCTAATTGTCAATCATTCTGGTGATATATTTAAAAAAGAACATCCTACGTGCTCATTCCCAGTTAGCTATATATATATATATATATATATATATATATATATATATATATATATATATATATATATATAATGCTTAGCTGCGAGAGCTCTCCGTGCAAAGCATTATGGGATTTGCTTTCACAGCAGCCCGATGTCGGCATAGGCTGTTGCTACCTGACAGCGCTGACTAATAACAAAGATGGCACAGGCACCGCACAATACAGGCGTAGTTTCATAAGCAATGGGGAGTGCAAACCGCTGATCATCTGTCAGTACGGTCAGTTAACTGAGTTCACTCTAATGTGCACTTTATAGTCCCCGTTCTATATAGTGATTGAGGGATTTAGGTGTTAGGGCGAACATTCAGACACAATAAGCTTGTATGTATAGGCTTGTGCATGCTCTCTCACACGTGGAGAGGGCGGGTCTTTTAAAAGATTCGTGAAAAATCCTCCACAATACCTTTGAGTAAAAATCAAAAGTGTTTTAAAGCTTTAAATTTCAGAAGTACATGGCATAATATGATGTATATGAAGGAGACCTTAAAAATTCTGCTGTTGCTTTTGGACGATGGACTTAACCCAGTTGCATAAAGAGTTGACCCTTATGGGTCAGTTTCCTGCCAGCCATGGACATTTTCTTGGTTTTTACATAAAGGATGCAACCTATGAACCTTTTCACATTTACAGTATTATTACTTAAAACTTTAGTGTTTGTGGCTTTATGGAATATACTTAAACAAATTTGTACATTACCGTGGCGATGAAGGCTAATTGTACAGACATAAGAGAGGGGGGAAAAAAACTGCATGGTGCATCGTCTTTCACAGCAAGACTTTACGTAGTGTTATAAATGTTAGGGAAGCCAGAATGGGCGCCACCTGATAAAGATAATCACAAAACTATATATGATAATTTCCAAACAGGCTGACTTTTCAGCTACAACCTATTCTAAGCAGCATTTTTGATGTACTGTGAAAAAGACAGACTTTTGTGGTTCCATGCCACATGAGCTATAGTATAAAACTCGTACCTAGTGAACCTTTTTTTAAAGGTAAAATTTGCAATTTAACAGAGTTTTGAAACATGGAAATATTGTAGAAGTGTAAGTTTTATGTGATTTATATGTTATATCATATGACATTTTTTCCAGTATCTCCTTGTGTTTCTCAGTTAATGATTTAAAAAGTAAAAAGAGAAGTGCAATGTTGCCTGACGTGATGGGGATATGACAGTTTGTTCACAAACTGGTTCCTTGTTTAAAACAAATAATCCATTTTGAATAAAATTTGCATAGATGTCAGAGCATGACACTAAAAGTACTGTTTTTGATTCCAGTAGGAGTTGAACCTGTCAACTCTACTATGTGATAATTTAGATAAGGCAACTCTCTTTCGAGAAATAATATTTCCTGAAAATGAAACTTGTTACAAAAAGCACTTGGAAAAAGTTGTATGCTGTTCTGTTTTTGTTAAATTAGGTAATTAAGGCCATGCATTCAGTGAAATGACCTCATCTGAAGTGCCTGGATTAAACCTAAAGAAATAAATGACAACATTTCCTAAAGAAAAGACAGATTAAAAAGTTAACATATAGATTTATTAAAAATTTATATTTTATGCCAGTGGGAGGAAGCAGGAGGACTTGGAAAACCCCATGCAGATGCAAGGAAAACATGCAAATTCTACACAGAAGGCGTACGGTAAAAATTTGAACCTTGGACCCTTTTGCTTTGATTCAACAGTGCAAAAAATGTGTCACTAAATTCCTTCATCCAATATTTTGATTGATACCAGTAAGGCTACAACATGCATGAGTTGAAAAGGCTCAAAAACATAAATAAAATTAAGTTTATGAGAGGTAGTTTGACTGCAAGCAAAGCATTTTTACTCTACAAAACACTGGATTCAATTCTGCATCTCCTGTTAGCAGAATATTCTATCTAAACATCCAATGAGACACGGGTCTTACAAAAGTATTTACATCTTTTAAAGCTTTATATATTACAGCCATAAACTCCAATGTCATAATAAGCTTTGATCTAATCCATCCTATCATTTTTCAAGTGCTGCTTCAAACAGGCTGCAACACTTGTAAAACAACAACAACTTGTAAGAGATAAAAGACCAAAAATAATCGAAAACCTTGATAATAAAAAATGGGAATTAATTAAAAGGGAATAATAAATAATTTTACAATTATTACATTTTACATTATGAACGTTTGAAGCTACACAAAATGCAGCCATATAAATTAGCAAAGAAACACAAATGCGACTACTTACTATGACTACTGATAACTCAAACTGCATTAAATGATTGAAATGTAAAACAGTACTTAGTTGCTGATTGCCTTAACTGTATAAAAGTGATAACCATGAGACATTGAAAAGCTATAAACTGCAAATAAATGAGAGATTGAATAAAAAATTACTTTAGTTTGGAATTTGGAATTTCCAAACCTTCATCAGTCCTTTTCTTGTGAAATTGTATGACAACAACAAAAAATATGATAGAGAAGTGGACTAAGAGCATAAACTAATAGCACATTATCATCAGTAGACTTTAAGCCAGTGCAACCACTGATTACTTTATGGTCCTCATCAACATTCTAGTGGCTCTATTCTGATGTAGATGTAATAAAGTTACATCTATTTTAGGAAGAGCAGGAAAAACAGCATTAGAATACTTTATGTTTTAATGGTGTGCAATTTAATAGACTCTGCTTTGGATTGTGAGCAAAACGATCACACTCATACAGTACTCTTTTGATTAGATGATGAAATATATTTTCTATAAAAGGTTTTATGGTTTTTAATACTATATATATGTATAAGTCAAGCTTATATATATATATATATATATATGTATATATATATATATATATATATATATATAGATAGATAAATATATATATATATTATTTCCACCAGTGGCTAATTTAACTGACTAAAGGCAGAGGAACTGCTTGTTCTGTCATCAATAACTATAGGTAAAGAATTGCAGTCAGCTTCT